CAACACCATCTCCCTGGGCCTTTCATCCCAAGTCTCACAAAATTCAACAACAAGTTCCTCAGGTACGGTACCAAACCTGCCAAAACCTCACCAAACCTGCTGTTGGAGTATGGCAGGTTTTGGGCAGTTAGGGTTAAAGCAGAAAACAATGTGCAAAGAATGTCATATACTGCTACCTAATGAGAATTTCATTTAAAACAAGAAACTGGAGCGAAACATTTATTTTTCAAATTAAATTTTTTCATTGTGGTTGTGCTACTGTGTTATAACAAGCTCAATATTGCCAAGAATAGAGGCCTTTTGTTTGAGTGAGATAACTGAAACCATTGCCTCTTGTCATATTTTATGGTCTTTTTATTTATTCAAAGTTGTTAATTCACACTTCTCATAGTAACAAGGCCATGCGCTCTAAAGTAAAAAAAAAAAAGGAAATAAAAGAACAAAAAAAAGTGTCACCGCACCACTTTTGGACCAAGCACATAACCAGAAACCGACCATAAGAACTTTCTCTCCGTCCCTGAAATCTCCACAGCCACGAAAGCTAAGCTATCCTCCCACATTTAGAGGTCTACTTGGAAGATCCCTTTCAAAGACAGGCACAAATGGACCTGCAAAGCTTCATGCCATGGCCTTTGCTTTACTGCCTTTCTGGCTCTTCTCTTCGAGTACCTATCCCATGCCTGTGACCTTCGGCCCTAGCGACCGTTGCTCTCCGAGCACTTGATGAAAGCATCAACTATCTTCGAGCAGTTCATTTGGATCTCCATCTTGATCACTTCCACATGCAGCTCCAACACCTTGGATACCATGAATATCTCCTGTGGTGGGGTCAAGTCAAAATTACGGGAACTCCCTCTCTATGCCAAAGACCTCTTCTCCGGAAAATTCATGGAAATGATGGAGGCTGAAGCTAAGCAGATTGACACAACCAACGAACTCAGTTTCCACGAATCTCTGAGACTGGCCCTTCCCTGCCATTTCTGTCCTGATGATTGCCAAGTTCAACCCTTCAGACCTCAGCATCAAGGGGACTCCAGCTCATCTCTAGAGGCCTTTTTATCCACCCAGCTTGCAGACGAGCCGTGGCCATACTTCCTCTTCTCAGCCCTCCAAGCTCCAAGGATTTTAGGGGAAGAACTTCAGTTGGCACTGCCCCCGTTCATTCGGGGTTAGGCGCTGCTGACATGCAGATTCACTCCTGCCCTCCGATCCCAGACCCATCGGGGGCTACTTCAACGTTTCATATGGTTCTGGGGGAGAAGTCACCTCGGACAGCTGGGTGCTAGCAATCGTCCCTTATGGATATTACCTCAAGTTCACAAGCACCCCTCGGTCTGTACCTACTATTCGTCTGACTTCAATTCCTTCTGACAGAAACAAGTGAGAGGCCTTGGAGTCCACAAAGATAAATTCATTTGTTATGTTCTAAATATTAGCAAGTATCCCAACAAAAATAAAGCAATAAAGAATGGAATATACCACAAGAACAAATTTCAGGGTAGGTACATGTACAAGTACTCATTTTGGCAGAATTTTCCAGACCAGGTACCATGTGGTCGGGCTGAGCGTTTTCCAGTATTCGGCGGTATGGTTGGGTTCGAATGAAGTGTAATCTTTGTGGCATATACATGTATAGCCGCTTGGATGGCAGTATTTGTGTTGATCTTTACTGTGGTTATCCCTGATGATAGTGAACTGTTGAGGGTTGACATAAATGCAGATGCAAACATGTTAAAAAAAATGACAATGTTTACATCTACTTTCAACCCACTCTCTTCGTTTCTTAAATGCCTATTTATTTTGTCACAAGAAAGCTGGTTTTACGAAACCAAAAACCACTGTTTTGTGCTTTATGTTGCATAAAATGTTTCCACAAATATGAACAAAATGATTCAACAGTATACCTCTCTATATGTTCTTTTTATGATGTAAATTTAACTGGCTAATTATTTGAGTAGCCATGTACGTGTAATTTACTTCAAAGACTTCAGACCATAAGCAAATAACCAGGTGTTACCCACCTTCATGGAATGACCCTTATATTGCTCACATGCACACAGTTAAGATCAAGAATCTGAGGTCTTGTAGGAGTTGTCTTTGCATTTAATTTTCTTTCCAACTTTACAAAATGAACAAAGATCTGGAAAACAGTTATCACATTTCATGTCCATACTCACTTCAAATTTATGCAGCTATTCAGTAAATTGTCAAGTGATTATTTATCATGTTTACATGTATGTGTGTAATTAATAACATAGACATTTTTGTCTTTCAGCGTATGTGTCAAAAAATCTGCAGACGTTAGAGCAGCAGCATCATGAATACGTAAAGGTATGGACATCTACCATAGTGTTTATCTGACAACAGCTTGAAACTGGCAGTTTGTTTATCTGTATACCAAGGGATTGATTCAAAGCAAAATAATGCTTTGAATATTAACATTGTATATGCCTTGAGCCGGACCAAGAAAGGGTGCAATGTTCCTAGCAACCATGCCTCCTTTGGTGGGAACTGCGTCGATTGATAAAATGTAGTTACACGAGGGTGCAGTAGAAATCGGTTTGTGCAGCGGCATAATTATGCTCGATCGAGTCCGCTATCGAGTTCTGCCATCTTGGCCCAAGACAAGGGTGGATCCAGAAGCAAATTTTCTGTAGGGCCAAATTTTTGGGGGAGGGGGCAAAAAGTTTGAATTTGGTAATGTAACCTTTGATGGCTTTACTGAGGGATAAGTCTATATTTTGGTTGTGTTATTACACGTTTGAAGGAAGAGAAGTGAAATACCAGTACATGTACCGTAGGTCTACCAAATACAGTTGCTTATTATTGGCCTCCCTCCCCCTAAAACAAATAATTTGGATCTTTTTTGGTGGGCATGGCCCCCATTTACCCCCTCCCTCGATCCATTTTTAAACTCACGGAAACAAGACGGCCATGTGTTCATGTCAAATGGGTATCATTAACTTTAGGCGTGCACTCGTATCAGGTCTGATTGTGATCTTACTCACATTGGTCCTTATAGGATATGGCCCAGATTCCGTTTTGATGTCTCTCAAATTATAAATTTAAACTGCACCCTCTTGTGACTGATTTTTTTTTAATAATACACTGTACCTGTACATGTGTGTTCATGTTATGTTATGGAATCATTCATAAATTAACAGAAAATGAATGGATAACATTATGTGTGTTGAACACATTTACATCAGTAGTATTCTTGTTGTGATTTTCATTCTTTCTTCTTTTTACCAGCTGGAAGACAATCATCTTGACAAGAAGACGTTTCTTATATTACAAGATGGCCAATATGTAGTCAACAGAGTCATCACACAGGGAGAGGTACATGTCTTCCATGGATCACCAGTGTACTGTGAATTACATTTTATCTATAGAATCTAACCTTATTCTTTGTCAGGTTACCTTTCACTGTGTGCTACTTGCATAATCACAGCTCTGTACAGCTATCTGTTCTGTACAGCAATAAGAGATGACATGTTTTACAAAGGACCGTACATGTAGCAACATCCCTTTGATGAGAACTCACCACATGCACACAGAGAGGTCTGTGTAATTGGCATTCATTAGGATGTGTTGAGAATGCATGACCAATTTGACCAATTTTTGGTGCTGTTGTGGGAATGCTTTTAAATCAAAGTGGAATTTTACATTGCAGTCCTGAAGCACTTGAACAGCAAAATTAATGCTTACGAAAAGCAGAATCCATAGCAAAGATCTGTCATGTTTGTTTTAGTTATAATCCACATGATGTCATTATGTGCTCCAAGCTGAGCTACTGTGATTAGGGCGTGACTAGTACTTGGATACCCATCATGCCCATATACCCAACTGAGAATGGCAGATCTTTAGTTCCTTGTTATCAGTGAAAGGTCATTTCTGCTACCAAGTATGGCGCCTTCAAACCATTTGCGGCATGTGCTTTCTGAGGCTCAACCAGCGTACTTGTAGGTGTATTAGTGTCAAAGAAACAATGACAGTGTCTCACCTCCTAGTTGTGGCGAGTTTCGTGACCATTTTTGGAAGCTGCCACGCTGCTGCAGGAATCCGAACAGCACACCTCCATCTTTGATGACCTGACCTGCGAAATGCACTGACTAGTCTGCTCAACGTACATATACACGTATGTACATGTACGTACTGCACTCTACACGGAGATGAGTCTGCAGGCCCTAAAGGCAACATAGCTTGAACGATTGTAGGAGTTTGCCTACGCATGCGCATGCCAAAAATAGTTGAATCATCCAAAAAGGTTCGAACTTCAGGCTGAACACCATAAAAAAGCTTGGATGCTTTTTAATCGTGGATGTTTTAGAAATTAGGAGGCTTTCTCAATTTGGATACTTTCTCAACTCGGATAAAACGACATTTTTGGTAAAATTTGTGCGCTGAATGACAGCTTTACGTTGGGAAAAGTGTTCCAATTTTAAAAATATATTCAGAGTCAACAATTGTATCCCAATTTTAAAAAATGTTTGGACTTTAAAAATTTTGCATCTTGAGAAACTGTTGGATTTGTGAAATCTTATTCGAATTTTAAAAAACATGTTCTCTCTTTACAAATTTATTCCAATCTAGAAATACGTTCTGTGGAGTTGAGGGTGAAAAACGTGAGTGCACAGAATTTTTGTCTGCACACTATGGATGGCTGTGACAGAGTGGCTGCACGTGTGTATGTACAGCCCACTGCGTGCCCATTGCCCATCATCCAGACAGGCACCCCTGAGAATCTAATTGGTTAAAGTTTTCCAGCACACTTTATATATGTATTCCCTTGATCTTTTCACACTTTTGCATGATTATCCGTTATAAAGGCAAAAACCTGGCTGTGCCTGTTATATGCTAAGTGTGCCATACAACTTGTAGCCAAACAAAACTATGCCTAGCCGTGAATTTATGAGTTAATTCGCGGGTTTTTATGGGGTCGCACATGATGGGTGAGTGGCATTATGGTCGTGTGTTTTACAACTATAGCTTGGAATTTTGATCAGACGGTGAAGAGCCGTAGCCAGTGTTCGATATGTGTGGATGTTGTAGTCTCACATGGAGATGCCGCACGGCGTGTTGCCAACAAAGCACACATAGCGTGCAGGATAAACCGTTGAAAATATTTTTTTCTGGAGTTTTCCAGGAATCAGACAAATGGCATCTCATTATCAATCGGAAACCAATCTGAACAGATTCATCACCACCAAGAAATTCCTCACATCAGTCCACTCAATTACCTCCAGCCTTTGCCTGGCTCCACCTCATCAGACTGCTGGTCAGTGAGTCTGAGTCTGCTGCAATTCCACCTGCTTTCTTATGCCATCCGAAGTCATAGACCATTGAACTTCCACTACTCAAGTCAAAGACACTTGCAAAAAATTGTTGAGCATCCTGACATGGAAAGCTTACAATAAATAAAAGACTATGTAATCAAAATATCGCAAAACTGGATAATATGATAGCGGTCATGCTCTCTCACAACAACTGAGTGGACTCTGCTCCCTGGCAGTCAGTCACAACAACTGAGTGGACTCTGCTCCCTGGCATAGTCAGTCACAACAACTGAGTGGACTCTGCTCCCTGGCATAGTCAGTCACAACAACTGAGTGGACTCTGCTCCCTGGCAGAGTCAGTCACAACAACTGAGTGGACTCTGCTCCCTGGCATAGTCAGTCACAACAACTGAGTGGACTCTGCTCCCTGGCATAGTCAGTCACAACAACTGAGTGGACTCTGCTCCCTGGCATAGTCAGAGCACTCTTATGTTATGAGAACTTACATCGAGCTCTTGTCATGACTAAACAAGACCTTGCTCCTGGTGTTTTCCACCACAGCACCGCATCTGAGGACGTAGGCCAGGATCGCTCTATCTACAGATCAATGTGCTTTCTCTTCTATCTCTCTGATCCCTCTGGTACTCCCAAACCAGAGCACAAATGCTGCCGGACATTACTAATCTGCCCAGCTCTGGCAGTGTCAGCCCTGGTTCCCTGGACTGAACAGGCTGTTGGTTCACCAGCTGTCCATCCTTCTGATTAGACTGGACTTCCCTCCAGCAGCCCAAGTCAGGGATCTTACACCGGGATGCCTGTGGTCCCACACTTACAGTTTTGGATATCTTCCAACGATCCCTCTGCTCAGCAGGATTTTCTGATGACACTACAGCCATGTCTACATGGGAATAGCATTTTTCTGACTGTTTGACATCTGACCACTATTGTGGATTTCGTTATCTACCTTTTCCAATGTGTTGTACCCTATACATGTTGGCTTTGGAAACAAGTCCATCTCTGATGACGTAGCCCTTTGTCACCTCCTGTGTGATATGTCCAATGAACATCCTCATACCAAACAGCTAATCATGTCTGGGGACCTAAGCAAAAGCCCTTCACTTGCTTATTGTTCCCTGTTTTGTATGAGCCCCCCACTGATGTCTCCCTATGGTGTGCCAGCACCCATCCAGCCTTCCTCCTAGCTGTGGGTGCCTCCACAGGAGACAGTATACTGCAGGTCCACTCTGCCGAAGCTCACTCTTACTGGCAGCTGCATAATTTCAGCCTCATCCCGTCCGTTGGCTTTTTGACCAACCAAAAAAAATTGTCAGACCTTATCATTTGAGCCGCCAGGCATTACGGAAAAACTCTGGTGCCTAGTCCACATACTAAACTAGTAAAGCAAAGCACTGGATGGGGACTGGCACCAAATGATTCCTTGCTACCACAAGGTCCCATCGCCCAGCAGCAACAGACTCCATCACCCGCTGGACGTTGTTGGCCATTGCATTCACCAAGCCAGACTGGCCATCATGCCCTGACAAACATAGTCAAAACAACATTGGGGCCCATGATGTAAAGGTAGGTTTCTACATCTGAGCCTTAATTTCAAGGGCTTTCTACTGTAGACTTCTGAAAGGCTGCATGTTAGAAAGTCTCCTTCTACTTTCACCCCTTGCTACCTGAGGGGCATCCTGCAAAGTGACTCTGTACATGGTAGGACGATCCTACTGTCTGCTGTGCAGTCTCCTGCAGCAAGGACCATATTAGGATGAGTTAAGTTCCTGACCTCCCTTACCATACAAGTTTGTCATCATTATTGATGCATAATATACGTATCCTTGTTGTCAGGCAGACATTTATCCTTTTTGTAGCCAGCCCCCATCTGTATATGTAGTGACTATTTGGGTAGGTAGTGTGCCATAGACTCCTCCCCCACAGCTAGTGTGGGTTGAGTCTACCAGCGAATACCCACCCAAACAGTCCTCATCACCTGCCTGTCCTCCCCACCTGGCTACGACACTTTTAGTCGCTTTAAAAAAGGATGAACATGGCGGCGTGACCGCAGTGCATAGTGGATGATCCAGTCTTTTCAGCGAATAACTATAGACATATGGGAAATTTGCATATGTAATTACTGTTAGGTAGGTATTCTCTAGTGGACTCGACCCACACTAGCTGTTGGGGAAGAATTCTTGTTTCCATCATTTTTAAGAGAAAAGGAGTGGTTAACTTAAATACATGTATTTGATATCAACTGTGTGCATTTGTTAAAGTTGTTTATAAAGAATGAACCCTATTTCATTCAACAAGAATATAGATGAGGCTTCATATAGGCTTGGCTAAATTAATGGACAAACTGTAATGCAACTGATTGTAATGGGACTAATCAGGGTTTTCCCGTACATATCTAATATTTCAACTTGCTTACCATGTGTAAATACACAGTTGGAGACTTCTCTACGGGAGTTATTTGTAACATATTAATATCATTTCAAGTTTTTTGGTTTGAGGAAGCTTTGAATTGTCCTTTTAGTGTAATGTGACTGATCTTTTTTTACAATGTCAAGATGTTCATAGTACAAAGCCTACAAGATTTCAACTATTATTTCTTCAAAGCCTTGGGTTTCCAGTTCATATCAGTGTATAAACTTAACAGAAAGACTGAACCATCTAAAACTAATAACACCAAGATAAAGAAATGACACAGAAAATTGTCAATGCAACTGACCATGGAATTGCCCAAATGTATTTTTGATTTTGTTTCTTTTTGAATTATCTACAGCAAGTTCAGAGGACATCTCAGATGTATAGCCTTGATGCAATGAAGGGCTTCATCTCTGAAGGTAATGTTGAAATGAAGAAGTGGATTTGTGTGGTCACCTGTTTCATCAACTACTTCATCATGTGACCCTGGGGAGAGCTTTGGGTTTTTCAATGCATAAAAACTTTTGGAACAGGAGGAAAAAAGAAAGATATTGAATAAAAGTCACAGTCCACTGCACTCATTCTACCCAAACGGTCACTAACTATGCAAATTCCTTTGCGTCTGATTCTATTCGCTAAAAACATCAATTTAGGCATACACATTATTGCCTCCGGATTTGAGTATAATATATTCATTTAGGAAGCAAAGAAGTAACTTGTAAGTTGAAATTTAACATCATAGGTTTTTGAATAAAATTCTGCATGCATGCTCAGAACTATGCACTCATGTTCAGAACTGGTAAACAGAACAGATATGTTTGCTGCCACCAAGGATCTCAAAGTTTCCATTTACACGCCACTATAGGTGAATTAGAACATTGCCAAGGAAGACAAAGGTTAACTTTTTTGAATGAACTACATGTATTATTTTTTCCAATAGGTTTTTTTTTACCCTAGCAATCCCCTGTCGTCCAATTTAGTATGTAGTTTCTCACACACCCTACAGCATTACAGATTTGATACACGTACCGGTATACCGGTATGTAAGAATTTGCAGTGACTGTGTTCATGCATTGTACATTACTTGGGGTTACCCTGTGGGCGTTGCAATTTTCGGACTTTTTGCCAACCTGCGAAAGGATGGTTACGTGTTGTTAACTATGCTTTAGACTGGCAATATTGTAGTGAATTAATTTTAGTTCACTATGGCTGTTTAGCTGCAGTATTAAGCTACGTGAACCTTAACTATTCCGAAAGTTGCGTTTATGATACATTCCCCGAATGATTTATCTTCATGTGCAGTATTTGCCCTGGTTGTATCTTACACCATGACTTACACAGTGTGATGATTTTAGCAGTAATCCCAATGACGTCTATGTACTGTATGCCACTTTTCACTCATGGACTATTCTCATTTTGAAGTGTGCCCTTTGTATCCTTGCTTTACTGTTTAGGCTCCAACCTCATGCTGGAGAGAGTGATGGTCAAGAAGGGAATTCCAGGCAACATGAGCTTCCTATCCTTTGATTCAGAGGCAAATCTCTGCTGTGCCACATATGTAAGTCATGTGGACATTTGTTACAGTTTTGCAGTCAGCAGTTTAGATACTGAATCATGCTTAACCGCTTGCTGCCGGGTGGAATTTAAAAAGTTGCATGATGTAAAACCGGAGGATTTTCAAGATTTTCCTTTTCCAAAATTCTTCAAAAAATCATCACTTCATTTAGTGGACGTTTACACCCACACGAATGACTGTCTGGTGGCTACTCTAATCTGACAGACAACATCTATTGACGCCCGAGTATTTCAGCCAGGCCTGCCTCCTTGTAAAAAGAGCCCAGATTGTGCGGTGTTATATAAGTTTCTTTTGTTTCCAAAACCAGCACAGTGCACTGCTGGCGTCTTTTCAATGGGGCCAGATTAAATTGCAGCAGTATTGTATCGCTCATCGCTGGAGTGCTGGAGCACTTTTGTCCCCGGTGGTTATCCGCTAGTGCTGAATGCCTCAAATAGTGGTATAATCTTTCAAAACAATGACGGATTTCCTCTGCTATTGACAACTGAAAAAATGTTGGCAATTCCCAGCAGTTCAGTGCTTTGTTCTGAGTACGGTCTTTTGTTAACAAGGCCCAGCTCTTTTGTCCGGTTTTGGGCTCCCCGGTTTCGTGTATAAAGCCTATGTGCCCAGCAGCAAGTGGTCAAGGATGGGACAGTTTAGCATGATTTTCCTCAGGCAGATAAATAATATCATTCACCCTAAAAGATTGGGGAGGGGGATATGTCCACCTGAACATTTTCTCCATTGTTGTAGGGCATTTGGGGGGGCCCCAAGCATTTAGGAGATTGTTTCCCAAGACAGGTCAGCCAATATATGTATGTATCCTTATTCAAGTCACATGCTCAATGATAGATGTACATGTACTCATAACGAGTGTCTATACATGCATGCCCTCTTTGATAGCTACTTAGGGGATGGATGGTTTAAAAAAGGCCTGACACTTCTAGAGTTAACTGGTAAAATTGGTAACGTTCCTTCAAAATTCTCTTTTCAGAAACCTCTTGAAGAGCGCCCTCAGAAAGTGGGGGATGAAGAGATAAGAGTGACAGGTGTTGAGAGGACAATTCAGTCCAGCACAGATCTACCCACAACATGGCAGACATATTTCCTATCGGATGGGTAAGAAATCTCCGAGCAATACTTACCCAGGGATTGCTTACATGGGAAAACTTTCAGCAGTTGTTGGTTTGATCTACCTTTGGTGTTGGGACTAAAAATCCAAATTTCTGAAGAGCTAGAAAACAAATCTACCCGCAGAATTCAAAGCTTCAAATCAGAAACCCCAAAACTGAAAAGAAAGAAAATATCCTGGATTGGCCTTTTTCAGCAAAGTTACGATAAGACATTTGACATTTATCACCACCTCTTGCTGACTGAAAGCAGATGTGTTTAGACCATGCTTGAAGAAACAATTGAAGGATATGTGAATTACTGAGTGTGTAAAAAACTTACGCCAGGATGCTTACAAATCAAATCAAGTCTATTTTGTTTTTTTCACAAACAGATTCCACCAGCAACCTACATGTATGGCATTCACATTTCTTTGAAGACAGATAAACTTGATTTCAAATCATTCTTCCGTGGGTAGCTGGCATGCATTGCCTCTTTCATTACCACCTATATGCCCAATAAACCAATCGCATCAATTTTCCGTATTAGTTTTCATTCCAACAGATCAACTGATTTCTTATTTGAGATTTTCAACAACCAAGAGATCTGGCAACATGCCACTACAGCAGAAAGCACTATTACTGTGACCTAGCGAAAGACAACCACACCAAAGTTGCATATGTTCTGGACACCGGTTGGGCTTAAAAGCACAGCAGTTTCTAGACTTGCCTTTGTGTTGAACAACTACAATAAGCATTCAATCAAAAGTGTTTTGCATGGCCACTTGATGACATCCTTAGCCTAAAATGAAACATAAGGGGATGTCTTCTGGACAATTGGCATGCATACTGTTGGTCTGAATATACATGAGCATTGAATGCAGTGAGAATTTTGCATAGTCCTACACACTGTAAAGTAGTACATGTATGTTCCATGTCTGCAGTTGATTGTGAATTTTTTCCCTGTGCTGTCTTGATTACATATTTTATATGTCACTCATATCACTGGAGACACCGTACAGTGGAACGTCACTGCAACAAACATGATGGTCTCCACACAAACATTTGGTATAGCGGCTGTCCTGTATAGCATTTTGTAGTGACAGATGCACACAGCTGTTCTGAACTACAGCCCATTTTAACGTGTGGTGGTCTGTCTCACAAAATGTTTTGGTAATGAGGATTCTGAGCCAACACTTACACCAAAGTATAGTCAACAATGTAAAACTTAGACGTTCTTTCATTTTGTAAATGTCTCTTCATTTCCTTGTTTTTTACCTTTTGATTTTATAATGAGAGTCGACTGTGCATGTTGTGAATGGGCCGTACAAGTGTTATCTTCAGTTCTTGCTTGGAGTTCACCTCACTGTCCTTAGACTTAGAGCCTCCTGAATCAGCATCATATTGCGTGTGCAACACTTTAAATAGCGCCTGGTAAATCAGTCTCAAAAGCAATCAAATTTTTGCCAGTACAATCATATTTTCACCTTACAGTTGCCATTTGTGACTGACTTAGCTCAAAAACTACATACAAAAAGTACTTGAACAATTTTGAGTATGCTTAAAAATAAAAAAGCGATGATTATGTACTCAAAATTCATTCCAGAAGGGTAGAAGTGGCAGGGTAAATTGCATCATGAATTTAAAGTTTATTGAGTGCACTTTACATGATTATGTATTGTACACGTATATTGCATTCATACGCACAATCTGCATGGGGTACCGGTACGAGTCAGTGTTGGTTGGTGCCTGATCTAAACATACGTTGTTGATGCACTGTATATGGACACCAGGGCCTTTTATAAACCACAGCTTGGGCTCCATTTTTTGCTGCAACATAAATGAAGCCTGAAACAGAGCTAATTCCAGAATTAAAGGTTGTCACTGTGATTCAGATTGTCAGAAATAGGGTAATTCATGCAGCAAGGTGTCCTGCAACACGCTGAAACTATGAACAAGATGACGCCCGTGGCTGAACCCCTTGGCAAGAACCCAGATTTCGTGGGTTGACCTCATTGGCGCTCGTGTACATACATATGTATGTTGTGAGGTGAATTTGTGTCAGGCTGGGTCATGATTCCATGGTTATGGATGGACAATGTAAACACGGGTACATGTATGTGTGTTTTTATATTACATGTGTGTGTGCAGACTTCTATCAAATCTGTGCACAATTAAGTACAGTAGGTACCAACTTAAACTTACTATGTTTATTATTACATGTTCTAATTGCATATAAGTTTACTGTAGACTAAGATCAAAACTTACTGCTGCCTTTTTAGCTGCAGTCAATATTTTTCCCTTTGGGGCCAATTGATTACTAAACTTTCATGAAAGTGCTGATGCCTAGATTTTTCCCCATTAGAAGCCAGTGGCTACCAAATCATTTTCTTCTGTTTAAAGGGGTGTGCTTGTGAAAGGAAAAAGCAAATCTCGCAAGCAATAACAACATTGAATGAGTCAAAGACTCCCTTAAAAAACTATCCATTATTGTCATAATTTGTATCAGGCAGATGATTTTATACATACAAAATTAATTTGATCACCACATCCAATTTTCAACTACATGTACATGTATCTTTGATACAGAAATGTTTCAGCATTAATGACACGTACATGTGACACTGCTTCAGCCCATAATACATGGGCATAATGACTTGCAAGTGCAGTATTGATTTGCACTGTTCACTGCCATGCTCTTGATTGATAGGGAACCAGTGCAATTAATTCAAGAGGACAAATATTAGAAATAGTATTGCTGTCATCGGGGTACTTCCAAGAACAGCACTATACCGTACAATGATTTATTGTTAGTATGTGGAATTCTTATGAGAATACTACAATACCAGAGGCATGAACATGTCAGTACTTATTAGTTAGTGCATCCATTGTTCGTTTTCTTTGGATATTTTTTACAGCCATTTGACAAGTCGGGTCCAAGTTGGTTCCCCAGTAACCATGAGGCTGTTGCAGTTACCAGCTTTTGTCCCTGAGGAAAAGAAGAGACAACAGCAATCAGTACCTCGTAAACCTCTAAACTGGGAGGAAGACATGCAGCTGTATTCAAAGTTTCTTGACAAGAAGGTACACACATGTACATGTATATGCTAGATAAATGCAGCCAAAATATTTCCAAAGTGGTCTTCTTGCGTCAGTACAAAACAAGCTAATTGGGACATTCGTCTTATTTTCTTGAGTTTTGTATGTGTGGATAGACCTTCTGTGTGTATAAATTTTGCTTACTTAAAGTCATAAGTAGGTGAAATTATGTAAAGCTACATATAGAGATCAGTTTCATTGGTAACAATTAGAATTCTGAAATATAATCTCTATATTTGTGTTTATTTTCCCTTTTTTGTCAAAAGAAAAATTATTGCCCAAATAAAATGATTGCATCAATTCCTGCAAGGTAGGGTGATTTGCCTTATCATCTTACTGTTTTGCATAGGATTGTCATGTTCAAATGTCAGTCTGCGAAAGTTGATATTGAATAATCCTGATCCTGTTGATTACTGTTTCTGTGCGAGTGAAGTTAAACTTTCTTCAGTTCAAGTCAGAATCTTTACTTCCAAATATACTTCTCTTAATGTATTGTTGGAAAGGTCTGATGTCAACTACTTTGTGGTTTTTATTATTTGGTTTAAAGAACAAATTTAACCCTCAAAGAGCCAGGCTATTTTGGTCCCCCTCAAGAACTTGGCTGTACCACGCTCTATTTTTTTTTAAACCCTTGACGACGGGAATTTCTTCCCGAAAGCCGACTCCAAGAATTCCAGCCTAGCTTGGCCACGGAGGCCACCTGCCAAACCCCAAATTCTCGGTTTGTGGCCCAGCGTGCTCTGCTCGCTTTGAATTACACGGTGAAAATGCAGATTGTTCGGTGGCACACGGCTCTACTCAAGCTTCCACATTCCCATTGCCTCTTTTCAAA